GAGCCGGTTCCCGGCGCCCACGGCCCCGCCATGGACGACCTCGGTGAGTGAGCCGGAGGCTGGGGGAGCTGCCGCGAGGCGCGCGCGGCCCCGGAACGGGCGGGCGCGAGCGGCCGGCGGGGGCCGCGGAGCCCACCCTCTGCAGCTCCGGTCCCCGCGCCTGTCCTACCGCCCCTGGCTCCGCGGGGCCAGGGGTCCGTCCTGCTGGGCCTGAGTCCCGGGCCAGGCCGGCCTCACAGCCGCCACCCCCCGCCTCAGGCACGACCCCCAGCTCCAGACCCTCTTACCTCAGGGACCCACCCCCACTTCCCAGGCCGGATTCAGAGATGGGCCCCGACCGCCACCGGGGCGGGACCCCCCACTTCCTGGACCAGACCAGCTTCTCAGCAGTGGGACCTTCACTTCCCTGACCGAACCCCACCCGACAGATTTACCACCCAACTTGGGGAGCAGCTGCCAGTCTTGCCTTGCCCCTAATTTCCGGTCCCCTGGAGGGCCACCCGTGTTTCCCAGACAGCACTCTGTCTTCAGGGATCACTCCTCTACCCCAGCCCACCATTTGATTTCACAAGTCAGACTCACAAGTTAGGGATGTGCCCACAACCACACCCCCATTTCAGGGACAAGTCTCCCCATCTGCTAGACTAATGCCCAACTTCAGAGCTGGTCACCCCTATTCGTTTCGCAATGAAGCAGTGCAGGATCAGAGCCCTGCAGGTCCCTGCGCCCCCTCCGCTCTCCAATCGGCCCCTCCATTCACAGAGGAGCCCCAGCTCAGCCCCTTCATAGCACAGACTTGCCCCAGCCTGGAAGCGTTAGTTGGGGAGCTAGGACTCTCCTCATGGCCCCAGACCCTGATGAAATGCCAGGGGAATGAAGTGGGAAGAGGGCCCCAAGGAATGGCCCTGAACTTGTCTTAACTGGCAAGGACCCCCTCCCCCCTCCCAGCCTTTGCAACCAGGGCCTGCTGGAAGCCATACAGGTGAGGAGGGCAGGGTGCCCAGAACAGACACTTCCTGTTTTCTAGCTGTCAGAGCCCCCTCCCCAGACCTGATCTGGTATGAGGGCTGGAGCGAGCTTCTCCAAGGGGCTTGGTGCCAGGGTTCTAGGAATGCCTGGAGTGGCAGAGCTCTGAGCTAAGGCTGTGAGGAGGGGAAAAAAGAAGTTGTTTCTTCTCTGTGGGAGCCTTGTCTGCTCTCTTTGGACTGTGGTGGCTTCCTCTGTCCCAGGCTCTGAGGACTGGATTTATCCTGGCCCCAAGCACAGGGTGCTCTAAGTTAAGACTGGCTGTTTGTAGGCGCAGAGATTCCAAGAAAGGCCTTCTGGTGGTTATGCCCTCAGCTGCTCACAAGGTTAGCTGTTCGAAACCTGCCCTTGGCCACCCTGCTCGGAGAAAGACAAGGTTGTCTGCTTCTGTAAAGATCGCAGCCTGGGAAACCCCGTGGGGCAGTGCTACTCTGTCCTGTAAGGTCACTGTGGGGCTCAGGCATGACCGCTGCCCAACAGCTTCCTTTGGGGATCAGGGTGCTTTGGGGAGATCTTGGAGGTGGAGGTGGTGGAGGGTCCCCCTCTGCTTTGCAGAGCATGGTGGCTGCCAAGCATAGTTCTGCCTTTGGGTCAGGCTTGGCACCCACTTTTCCTAATGCACTCAAGGTTGGCATGGCTTCTGGGCAGGTATTTATTTTCCATATAAAAATAACGAAGCTGAACAGAGGCTGGGGGCTTTTCTTTTGAGCCTGGATCTGACAGCCCAGTGGGGGCTGGGAGTGGAATGAGGGCCTCTGACCTGCTGGTGTGGTTGTCTCATTTCTAGACAGCCCAGTGCTGTTCAGAGGACTGAGAGAGTCTTTGTACAGCACAGTCGAAGTCCGGAATTCCTGTGTTCTGATAAACCCAGGAGAAAAAAAAGAAAACCTCTGCCATCGAGTGGATTCTGACTCATGGTCACCCTGTACAGGGTTTCTGAGGCTTTGCAAATGTTTACGGGAGCTGGCTGCCTCATCTTTCTCCCGAGGAGCGCCTGACAGGTTTGAACTACCTCTGATGGGCTCCTGTCTAGGGCCAGGAAATGGAGTTTAATCTCTGAAAGGAAGGAGAGTAGAGTGGCAGAGGAGATTGTAGAAACCTAAATTTCCTGCCTGCCAACTTCTGTTACCTCTAGATGCCCATCCTCACAACAGTTCTTTGTAAGAGTCCTTTAAGGCCACTAATGGAGCCCTGGGGCTGTAGTGGTTATGATAGGCAGCTCACTGCAAGGTCAGCAGTTCGAAACCACCAGCCACTCTGTGGGAGAAAGATGAGGCTCTGTGCTGAAGTAAAGAGTTACAGTCTGGGAAACTCACAGGGGCAGTTCTACCCTGTCCTTTAGGGTCACTAAGAGTTGACATGGACTCGACTGCGGTGAGTTTGGCTGGGTGTTTGAAGGCTGCTGTTGGGGGCCTCTTCAATTGGAACCTTGGGAAGACAGGTGTGGCGAACTGCTTCTAAAGGGTCCCAGCCCTGAAAACCCTGTGCAGAAGTTCTACTCTGCACCCAGGGATTGGTTCACTTGTCTGAAGCTGTATAGAGAGCCCAACAGCTATCTCTGAGACCTACAGCTCTTGTGGACCCAGAGGAGCACTGGTGAGGGGTGCGGGGGAGGGGTGGCTGCCACCTGTAACTTGGGCGTGTGTGTGTGTGTGTGTGTGTGTGTGTGTGTGTGTGTGTGTAGCTCCAGTTCTGCCTGGTGGACTGGAGCCTGGGGCT